TTTTTGTGTTTTGTCCAAATGAAATAATATGGATATGATATATTTGTCTTATAATCCAAACAAACTGAAACTGGTGTGTACATGTAAAACCACTCGCGTCGTCTTACCTTGGAGCAGCGTGCTCTCAGATATACCAGTTCTGTGCCCATATGCCAATAAATTCCGAAAATATGAATTCAGGAAGTGGAAACGATAACATGTTCTTAGCCAGAGAGACAATTCTTTTCTTTTCCTCAAAAGATTGTACTTTCATTATTGAAACTCACCTCTATACAACATCAAATGGGTCCTTCTATGTCGTATTTTTGTACGTACTTTTCTGAGCTATTTTGCAGTATATGCTACTACCAATTTAGCATGTTAATGCAACAACTGAAGGTTTACTGTATTTTCTGCAAAACGATATACATATCAATATGAATAGGTGTATCAAATAGAGCGAACGTGCAACTTAAACATTTCTCACGTTTTGAAAGTCCCATTTGTATAGCGGCGCGTCTGCTTTTGACCTCGGACTCCAAAATCCTATACATTAACGGCACGGAGATACTTACACATTAATATTGCAGACACGTAAACAAGAAATTTAGCCTCTGTATTTCAATGTTGCTTTCGTTACAAACTGACATTATAGCGCCTTCATGCCTATCCGTCACGTGCAGGCTTTCCCGGAGATCTCGGGTTAATTTGGTGTAATTATAGATAATATTGAAGTTTCTAGTTTACCTTGTTCTGACTGCGACGTGGCCGTGTACTTTAGCAGCGGGAGGGGGGGGGGAGATTCCTAGCTGAACCTCCCTATTTAGCAAAAGGTATCAAATCAAGATATTTCACTTCATAATTCTGCTTCTATCTGACGACATTTAAATTTCTGAAAGCGTATGATTTTTTCAGGTTTCTGAACTGCACTTTGACATTTTTTTGGTAATGTCAGATTAAGCAGCTGGAATATTATTCCAATTTAAACCAACCACGAAATGTCCGAAGAGTTATTTCGTTGGTTTCCTTTTAAAAGAACTATAACACGCTACACCAGCCATTGGTGTTTTGAAAAAAAAAAATGATCGATGGCCGCCTCCGACTGCTAAACACATCAATTGTACAAGCATTTAATTTGTTATTTTCAGTTTTGCTAGAGTATTGTATTGTGTACTCCGCGATCAGTTGATATAATCTGTATTGTAATATGAAATAATGTGTACTCAAATGGTATTAGCGACCATGTATATGAAGTGGCTACTAAAAGCAGCTGAGAGTGTTGAATATTTCCGCTGCTTCTTCAGCTGTGAAATTACTCCTCCAGAGAAAATATGTTTTGATCAAAATTTAATTTACTAAACAACAGTAAAACATATGGGCTCTTTCAGTGCAATAAATGTACGCTGTTTTAGAAAGGGGAAAGTAGGCATATATAGAAAAAAATTCAAATGCCTGAAAAATTAAGAGAATATTTTTTCTTTTCAATCACGAGTTTCATCAACCGAGCTGAAACAGGGTTAAATCTAAAATACATGCATATACAAAAAACCTGTGTTCTGTGGTCGACCACTAGTTCGAAATATACACAAATTATCATAACATCTTAATCATTCAATAACATTCACAGACATCACGTCATAATGACGGGTCTCCCGATTCCTGCCTGATTTGCTGTAGTCTTTCCTCCTCTTCCACCTCTTATTCCCAGTGTCGCGTGTGACGCTTTGGATTAATTATTTTGCAACTGGAACTTTGTTGGCGGAGACTAAGACCGTCTAGGCGCAGTGAATCCACACGCGATGCATAAGTGCATGCTCATCGAAACATTTTTATATTTGACCCGCGAAGGGTAACGTTTATATTCTGTTAGTAAGGTCACATTTGAAACAATAAAAATAGAAAACAAAATAATAAATAAAAACAAAACGAATAAATAAACAGACGAGTCAAGAGACAAATAAAGAACAAATTGACAGATGAACATGAATTAACAGAGAGATATAAGAAACATCACTCACGCCACAGAAGGATATTCCGAATATCCCTTTGAATGTTTTGGGACAAGGCTCTGCATTAAGAACACTCTGTACAGATGGTTCTGTCCCTCTGAGAAATACAGCTTCAGTTAATTGCCAAATCAAGCGTGATAGGAAAAGACGGGGAGAGAGAAAGAGCTAAGAAATAATGTAATTTTATCATTCCGGTCGGTGTATGTTGTTTCCAAACGCGAATGTAAATCCATTAAAATCCGCCTCAATAACTTAACCCTTGTAGAGTTCAAAATTATTAACTAAATATTATTTTTAAATATTGTCTTGGAAACGTATGCTTGAATTTTGTCAGAGAGGAAAAATAGGACGGTGGTTCAAAAAGATCGATCATTGCGCTATATAATAAAAATTGACATTGGAGTTAAAATGCCTTGTTTATATAGACTATATCCAAAAATGATTTATTTAGAATGCTGACTGATCGGCTTAATTTAAGAAATCATATTGATAAATGGCTATGTCATAATGCAATCAACTCATTAACCTTAATACTGCCCATATTTTAAGGAAGCCTCACAACAGAGGTATAATACTGACTTATTTGCTGCTTTTTTAATGTGTTGAATCTCCCCCAAAAAAGGCGTCCTTTTTCTTGTATTGAGAAGTGCCATTTCTATTTTTCTAGACACTGAACATCTCAATTCAAGATATAGCTACAAAGCAAACATGGCATTGGAAATTCTAATACATGTAGAAACTAGCTTAATTAAGTCGTTTTTTTCTTTCTCTGTAGAAAAATTAAAGAGTTCACCTTGGGGGATCTCTCTAAATCGGATTTGTACTTGTATTTATAGTAAAACTTAAACATTCCAATAGAATTGAAAACGTCTTTGAACGCGTTCTCTCCTTTCCTTTCTAATCGTGTGGCGTGTGCCATCGGAAACAATCAATTTCTACCTGGACCGAATAAGCGACAAAGCAAATTAATTAGCAGACGGGAAGTGAATCATTAAGTGATTAGGTGATTATTTTTTCGATCAATGTGATGAAGCCATAATTATGTCTTGTATGTCTTTGTAAATATACATATTGAGTGTAGAGTAAGGTTTCAAAATGGCGGGCGTCTAGATTTGGAGATCTTGTTACACAATTTAACACGGGGTGAAATGACTGGAATCAATCATTTTCCCAGTAAAACTGATTAGAGCAGTCACGGCGCTTGCACAGAGAGTTGAAATATCTCTTTAAGTCGATTAATTGAGGTAGGTTGTCAGCTACCTCTCAACATGATGAATACAAGCAGAGGTTCGGTGACAGGGATCCGCAACTGTCGTAATGTGACATAAAACGTTGGAGGGAAAGCTCGTAAATGAATGAGTATTTTCCAAACAAATCAACTTCCTCGTCCCAGATGATATCCTTGAAGTTGAATCAATTACAAAAGTGTGGCAGGTAGTTTGTATCAACGCGTGCCATTATTGTCCGTAAATGTTCACACGAGAATGATCCAATACTCAAAAAATAAAGGTGGCATTGATGGAAAACGACAACGTTACGATTCCTCGGCTAATCAAAAGGTAATGGCCAGTGTCATTTGCTCACTTCAAATAGATCAACGTAGATAGAACAGCTGGGTATGACAATAGTAACAACTACAAATATAATAAAACCTATGAATTGCTAGCTACAGGCTGTTCTTATCAATGGAACAAAAACAGAAATACAATACGTAGCTATTGTAGTGAAAGGTGGGCGCTGAGGTAAGTGAATGACACTTTACGAAGGCAGACTACCGTAACAGCCGCGACTTGACGAAACAATCGAAATACTCAATAAACCGTGCTACAATACAAGGCAGTCAATAACATGCAAAAACAGAAAAAATATGAAAAAAAAACTCTGAATGGTTTTCTCGCTAATCTGCTCTGTTTTAATTCTGCTGACAAGGATTTCCATTCCTCCTGGTAAATTGGAGATTTTTTGTAGTTTGTGTAATTTTACACTCCTCTCATAAACTTATCCCTTGGTAATTAAAAAAAAATAGAAGGAGCGGAGTCGGTTTGCAGCTCTGTTACAGAGTAAATAGATAAATATCAAAAACCTAATTCTTACGAGCTCCAGCACAGCTATTCAGTAACTGTACGATCTTCGGCTTGCATCAATGTTAATTACAAGAACAGTTCTTTTTATTACATTACGCGCGGCTTTCGTAGCTACCGAGGGTTGTTCTATTGAATTTCGCAGGCAGGGCAATGAATTTGATAGTGTAACTGTTCCAGATTGTGTAAAATCACCATCCGGATGATAAATATTTATACGCTAATTCCCCTTCTCAATATCTATATTTTCATTATATTCAATCACTGCAGTTTACTCGCCGTTCAATAGTACGCTTTGGAATTTGGAATTTCCCCCATAAAATTTTAATGCCGGTCCTATACAGAGAGCTGCTTAATATTTCATACGCTGATCGGAAAACCCCTAACCTCTATAATCTACTAGCACGTGTTGATTGTACACATCCATATAAACAGACGATGAAAGCGCGTGACTTAACTGATACTTGGTGATACCGAATCTTGTCATTACTAGAATAAAATAATTACGTTGCTCTGCGTCATATTGTTCAGATTGCTCCAATCTTCGTTACAGTGGGAATGTGAAAGGTGCAATGTATGTATTTATTGTACAAATAATTGCCAAGCTGGTGACAAACGTTTGGCAACTGCGTTATTCCCAGCCGCTGTAGCGTTAGTATTGAACTCTGGGGAAGGCAGAGAGCATATGCGGGTCATTTCAATATGGAATACACGACAATACTGCCCGCGTAATACATATACCCTACTGCAATGCAGGTCACACTGTGGTTAAAACAATGCAAATTTGTTCATAAAATTTCGACCGAAAAGTTATTGAACCAAAATATTCTATTGACGCTATTTTGGCTTTATACTTTGGAGATTAATTGGGTTGAACAGAAAGCAGATCGATTGATATTCTTCGACTCCATAGGATTACATCGAAGGTACGCAAGTCAGCGGGTGCTTCAAAATCCGAAATCTATACACATTTTCTTCTAACGATCTATTAAGCCAACATCTTATAGAAACAACGCCATGCACACAACGTTTTTCAATTCCAAGATCCCGCTTTATCGTGGTACTAATAATTATAATTTTAAAGGAACAGTCCGTATAAAAATCAACATATCTTATTTAAAAGCTTAAATACCTACAAATACACAGCGAACGAGCTCTAAGAGCTTGCCAAGACAAGACTATGAATAAATTAATATAAATAATAAATCAAGTTCCCTCTCAAAAATTTTAATTTAAGATGAATATAGAAAGCTATGTACAGTACCGCCACTTGGTTTGCCGCCTTCAGTTTTCTCAATAACTGGACAGATGAAGACGACCATTGTTCTTTGTAATGGATTTTTCCTTTCGTTCTCTTTCCACAGTAAACGAATTTTAACTACAAATTTTCTCAACGCACAAATCGAAGTCTTTTTCCTGTCACATTTGTATTGTTTGCAGCTTTTGATGATCAATTTATACAGCAGATGAATCTGTCTATATTTCTCCTGAGAACACAAAATTCTTTCAGACTAAAATTTCAATTTTAAACGTTGAAATGAAGAACGAGAACATTCCATTAGACCGCCACAGGACTGAAGATCCATCTAGAAACGAGTGCAAGGCTGAACACGCTTACCACCACAACATATCACAATCAATAAAGAAATATAAATTGATTAAAATATAAAATAAAAGTCAAGTCCTGATTGCACTTGTCCACACTGCACTTGTGGTCGTTTCCCCACCATTTTACAGTCAATGACATAATTCGATGATACAATATTCTAAAGAGTTCATGGAGCGTAGCGAGGAACGGTCCGCCCAGACCAAAATGATGAAGATGAAAATGGCAATGATCCCAAAGTCCGTAGAGATTCTTTTCCTCCAGCGCAATTATTTTGACATTTCTACCTTGGCGACGGACAGTTCTTGGGACGAGGAGGGGGCAGATTAGTGAAAATGAACAACAGATGATTGTTAGTGGTTTACAGCAGAAAATTTCATTCTCTTCTGTTTTTGTCTCTGATTGCAGAACCACACACGGACCACATTCTTTTTTAGATCTAATTTCTCTGCGATCTGCGCGATTTTTTCTCCCGATGGTCTGGGCTGCACGGCGAAATATGCTTCGAGAGAGCGTTTCTCAGGAGCTGCGATTGAGGTACGTTTACGTTTTTTCTCCAAGTTTCCTAAAAGAGCCGCCCTTCCTTCTTCTCCTTCGCCTGTCGTTCCGCCTCCTCCAACCAGGCCTGGAGAATGGGTTTTAATGCAATCATATTATTATGGCTAAGAGTTAGACTTTCAAACCGACATATGGTGCTCTGACTGAGCGCTCCTACCCCAGGGAGTTTCAGCTTGGCCAGCGCCCCTCCGACGTCGGCCTGCGTAACGCCTAATTTTATACGGCGCTGCTTAAAGCGTTCAGCAAACGCCTCCAGCTCCCTGGGGTCACAGTCTAGATCGTGCATGCTGTGCTGCATGGCGTGGTGAGCAGGGAGGGTAGGCTGGGGATTCATAATGTTTGTGTGCCCGTACGCTTGCGCGTAAACCTGTGAGTGAGAGTGGGAGGTGATCATGTTGTTGTGATCCGCCATCGAGAGAGGCATGGACGCTGAGATTTGGTCTAACATCATGGAATCTGTCGACGGGGCCCCAAAGCCGTGCAGGGGCACCTGGTGGTGACGGGACATGCCCCCTGAACCCCCCGGGTGCCCGTGCATATTCATGTCTCTCATGTCTCTCATATCCCTCATGTCCCGCATGTCTCTCATATCTTGTACATGGTGTCCATACAGACTATCCGACTTCATCAGTGACTGGGGAGTCTTCGAAATATCCACTGCTCCCGCGGCCAACGCCTCCACTCTTGCAAGCATGGAGTCATCGATACTTCCAATACCACCAAATATGTTTCCCTGCAAAAGTCAAAACAAGATTGTGAATATAAGTAATTAATTAACGACAAACACGCCAAGGTAATCAATCTGTAAGTGATGCATACTTTTCTCACCTCACCCCCGGCGTAGTTGACACAGAAAATATCCACTTCATAAAATATGAAAAAGATAAAGTGTTAAGCACTTCTTCTAGTGATTGCTAATATCTTATAGTATACACGGTCGGATAAGCGTGGCTGCGATTCGCCCTGCATTATGCATTCGGGTTATATGTACACGACGCTGCCGTCGCGCTGCCGTCACGCGCCCTGCCACCGCAGCCGACGTCACCTACCGATGTGTTTTGCAAACGTCGCATCGTGTCCGGTCGAAAGGGAGGGGAATATCTTCCGGACAGACTGCCAGAGTTGAGATGATGATTTGGAAGCCCTAAAGTCTGTTTAGTGTTCATCATGGTGGAGAGCGTCCTCGTAAAACTTCCCCGAGACCCACTGAATTCTGTCACCAAGCTCTAATATAACCGACTCCTGCCTCCGACCAACATGTAAACACTGTGCGAATTCTATGTTGTCGTTTGTTCTTATAATGACAGACGACCCAAGATGATGCTGGTGGAAAGTGGAAGGCATGGAGAAATGACTAGCTTTCCTACTGCATTGGTTCATAAACGCAGGTGCTTCTGGTTCAGAGCAAACGTCACGCAAGGTGCAACGCGCATGCGCGCGTAGGGCTCCCTTCACTTCAGAGGCCTATTGAGGCATTACCGCTTGATTGTGCGCTCTGGGGACCGGGTTGATTGCATTGTGCTTGTACGGCTAATCAAGTGTGGAGCTTGTAATGGCTTGGACGAGAACAGAGAGCCACTCCGGGGAACGCTAAGTACAACCCTCGACTGATTCACCGGCAACTATGAAGAGTCCCCACAGTGAGTCCGAGCAGCTTAATGTTGATAACATTAAAACTTCCGCTTCAACTAGGCCAAAAAAAGATACCGCCCCGTCATTTCTCTACATTTTGTAAATCTTATTTATTCCATTTTGTTAGATGATAAAAGGTGTGTGGTGTTTGTTGATTTGTAAAAGATTTATATGAAATATGCATTTAAAACACATATTTGTTATAAATAATGAACACTTGTAAATAATCACTTAGTGGAATCGACTTTGGATTACCGGTTTTAAATTGTAAGAAAGAAATCTGATCATCAAAACACTATTTGATACTAAGTTAACAGCGACAAAATATATAACGTCTTAAAAAGAGCATATTTAAGAACAAAATATGTAGATTGGTTATACATTACTGAGAAAATCGTCTTTGAAATGAAAACAATATCACAGAATTCGCGTGAAACGATATAAATATACTTTATATGAAATTTAATGTAATCTCGATGAAAAATATTTCATAATTCTAATTTCATCGCTACTGTGAACATAGGCAGGTGGGTCCCTGTATTAACGGAGTAATGACACTACAACAAATTACGATTTAAAAATCCATCCATCCGAAGGGTTGACGGCCGATTGTTTGATCAATTGTAAAGGGATGAAAGATGACTAAGTTGGTTGTTAAGACAATAGCTTTTCAGGTGTGCTATTCAGCAGTTTGTTTTCACTTGCCGTGTAATGACGAGAAAATGTGTCGGTTTCTCAAGCTCGGAGTACAACGTTTGTTTACCTACCGATATCACGCTGTATACTATGCGCCAAACCTTACTGCCTTAATTAATACATATCGGGAAAATATCGATATTTTTGGACGTGAAAATTTATTTCCTCACTTCTCACGCGGGCGCCGTTCAACTAATCTATAGCTGGACCTGGTATTTTATTCCCTGGAAAGTGGTAAGAGTCAGTCCGAAAAATAAAGTAACAAAATGGAGTCTTATTGATTGGAAGATTCCGTGGGCCCACCACTTCATATTACGCTAATTAAAACGCAGAGGCCTCAAGTGGGGAAAGTCGCAGGGAATAGAATTTAAAGGGTCGTTCTCCACTGAAATGACGCGGGAGTTTGGCATCCTGTGGCACTGGACTCGGTCATTTTGAAGACCACTTGAGCTTTTTGTGGTGATTTCTTACGGTTATATACTGCTGGTGAAAATATATTGCTCGGGTATTTGTTTGTAAATTTTGAAAAAAAAAAATAGAAAAACACACAGCAGCACAAACTCACGTTTTCAAGACGTGAATGATTTCTCAGTTGTGCTATGCAATTTTAAAATATGCACAAAAGTAAAATCTCATCGCTTTAGCCTACATAGAAGAGAAGACGACCTAAAATAATTAGCATGTTGTGAGCCAGCACATTTCATGTGAATTATAAAGTTTTATAGATAAAAATGGTACAGTGGCCAGCAGGTGCGCCTACCAAACCTCGCCATCGACTGTTTTGGTCTTTATTTGACGCAAGGCTACCGAGGATAATGCAGTTTTATCTTAATTAAGGTGAAAATCCGCACGCGATTGTCTTATTCATGTACACTTTCATGAAGAGTCGTTGGGGTGATTAAGGCTCGATAATATTGCCTGAAGTCTCAACATCTCTCTGCCACAATCAAAGCCCCTGTGCGGGAATTGTAGCGAAAAAAGGGCAACTGTGTCAGTTAATGTCTTGTGTTTAATCTTGTAAATTTTTTATGTTAATATGTTTACCCGATAGGTGACTGTGATATTAGCTATACACCGAGATTATTGACTCGGGACAGGCAAGGAGAAAATTATCAGTTATTTTATTAAATAATTAAAATGCGAGGACCAATTAGCGTTTCCCTGATTTCACCTACGGTAACATGACCGCCCTATTAAACTCCACGATGCTAAATTGACAGCTTTCCCTTTTCAGGGGATTTATTTGTTCCGATCTATTATTTATATTTCAGATGTAACTTTTTGACCCTGGGTATTGTGTTAGGGTAACTGCAACAACTAAAGTATCGTCTATTTTAGCTTAACCATACAGGGTTTGTTAGGTAGCTAAATACACTAAAGTGATGGGCATAAATTATTACTAAGAAGCATACCAGCCAAGGTTTGTCAAGCTAGATGCCGATGGCGTTGATGGTAATAACTGTTGATTCTAGACAACAAATAATACTAGAGCTTAGTCTTCCCTTGGTTTTTTCTAGTGCAGATTTTTTTCACTGGGAATTAATTAATTTTGTTTCGCGTCCTGATGAACAGATTGTCGGTCTGAAATAAAGGCAAACAACAATTGTTAATGACGCCTTCGCTCGTCCTAATTAATTTCTTGATTGCACTGTCTGTACTTAGGGGCCATTATAGCGAAATTAAAGCATCTGTATAATTTCTTTAATAATCAAGGCCTAATGTTATACATGCTTATGTGTACATAGCAGGGGTGGATCCAGAGATATTTTCTGACAGTCTTCCAAATTATCTTTGCTGACCCATCCTTCATTTTTGACTGTCTTCCTACAGAAAAAAAATTAGATGCACGTCAGTGTAAACTTGAAAAATTCTGACCATTTCTGGAAGACCCAGAAGACGGCCTACATCCACACCTGTATAGAATAGGTTAACAGAAATAACAATATTAAGCCAGGAGGCTGCTTCATATGTAAATAAAAAGGGAACCTACAGTGTGGTAAGAAGAACTAGACCGCAGGTATAAACCTCGAGTTCAGTATAAAATATTGAAAGAAAACCTTCTGTAAATGTTTGAGGTTTTGACTTTATTCTTGATTTCTTCTGTAGCCTGAGATTGTTGTAAGTATTAAATATTGGATTATATCTGTACCACGTTGGTAGAGCAGGGGGTGTGTGGGAATGATGAAGTGCATTCATAAATTCACTAAATGTTTACGTGTTATATCTATCGTGTTAAAACATGTGGTATAGTAGTTTCATAGGTTTAGCCATCTTATAATATGGACACAAAACCTAAAGCACAAGAGAACCTTCACATTCCATTTGTCTACCTCTGAGTACATAAAAATGAAAATTTGCAACCATTCAGGAAATTTTGAATACGCAAATAATTATCAGAATGTTAGATGATCAAAATCACCGGAGAGATTCATTCACGGTGCAAATCCAATAAAACAGTTCTAGATAGACCTAAGTTAATTGACGATTGAATGACATTGATGACCATTGTATCTTGTTAATTAGCTAATGAATTCACCAGCTAAAATTAGTCTGCGCTATAAAACCCATTTGTCCTTTTAACGCTATAGGAACAATTATCTAACTTGGGTAGGCGTTTTATATTGAGCAAGTTCATACCGTGAACTGGATGTAAACTCCATCCTCAACAAAGTAAGGATCATTATGTTAGTACATTGTTGATATTACTATATACGAGCGTGGTTTAAAGGGCACATGCACACACTGCGCTTTATTCGGTAACAAAGTCAGTGCCTGTGTCTTTATATCTTCGACGCACCTAATAACTACGGTGTCAGGAAAAATAACCGTGTTTTCCTTGTTGCTGGTACAATGGAAATATCAATGTTGACAATGCGAGGAGAGAAGTCACCTGTCGCGTTTGCCTCAAGAAGGAAAATATTTTCTTTACGTACGTTGGCACGCGCTCGTTGGTATTGAAGTAACACATAGCGATACCGCGACCGCTGACAAACGCCATGCATTGTCTCTGCCCCTCTGATCTGCCTTGGTTTTCAAAGTCCCTCCAGACTAGCAGCATTCTTGTCATTAAGTCTGATAAATATTATGCGATTCATGTAGCCTTTATGCGCTGAGTACTTAATACGCCTTGGTAATCGCTTTGAATACACACGAATTTGTATTGACTAACAATATAGAAGAATTGAGCATGTGTTAGCGGTAGGAAGTAAAGCACGCATTACACATCATAATGTGTATTAGGATGAAGCATATCTATGGAAATATCGGTTGTCTTCGAGTGGGACGACGGCAACACGCACGTGCCCGGGCTTTGTGGAAGAAATCGAGAAATCACCTCGGAAGGAAGGCGGCGCTTTATAGGTGTAATCAGGAGTTGACATACAGATGAATGAATAAGTTATCAAATGTACAATTGTTTATATGTTTTCCGGTAATCACAACATCAGATGTAACTGTTTGATCCAAAGGAAAATAACAATAAAATTTCCATGCTATAATAGCAGAGATGCTTTTGAATTCGTAGGAACAGCGGAGAGAGAGAGAGAGAGAGAGAGAGAGAGAGAGAGAGAGGTTAAAAAAGCAATCCTCAGAAAGAACTGTTCAAGTTCATTTTCTATTCTAATAGGCAAACCAACACATGGGACCGCTATTGATTGCTACCTAGCACCTAATGCTAAAGTGACTATCTCAACACTTCCCTTTATTTTCAAATTTCCCGTATTTTAATTGTGTTAACCGTAAAAAGATTTTAGCTGTTTCCATTGTGAATCCATATAGTAATTTTATAAAACGTGAACTTGTGTTCCTCGATTTCCAAATAAGTACAATTACGCTCGGTAAATCCCATATGCGTTCAGAATTAAAAGAAAAAGATCACTCCCCTGAAATGATTAGCTAGATTAAAAACGATAAGGATAGAAGAGAACCATACTTTCCCATTGAAATAATCGCTTAATTTCATAACAGGAAAATTGGAGAAATTGCCGTTGTCAGATAAGTTTTATCAACGTCGTCATTGTCTGAAAGCATAC